CTATTAAATTAAATAAAATAATAGTAATAATGAGAATAAAAAATAAACATTAATTGTAAGGAAGGAAAATTAAAAAAAAAATTAATTACATTTCACAGACAATTATAAAAATTATTTCGGCTTGACCAAATTAAAACTTGTTTTACTTAACAGTGCAGTCGTTCTTTCATTTAAGGTTGTCTCATTACTACTAGGACTTGCACTTACTTTAGAAGATTCCGAAGTTGTTTCGTCATGAAAAATATTTTCATCTGATGAGACTAATACTGTGCCATTATTTAACCATTTTTGTAGAAAATCTTGTTGAGAATTTTCAACGCTAAACGTTATCCCCAATTCGTTATTCAGAACGTTACCTTCGATTTCCGATGAAATGTTTATTAACGGATCCGAACCTACTTCGAAACTGCTTATAACATCTAAACAATTCTCTTCGTCAGTAAAAGAACCGACAGATCTACTCTTCCTTCTCCTTTGTTTAATAACTTTTGTAGTTAAACAATTATCACTACCTAATCTTGCTATCACCTTTAAATCGTCACTCTTTACTTCGAGGACAGGTGGAGTTGTTGAATTGCACGAATTTATAATATCTGTACCTTGTTCTACATCCTCTAATTTTGTGGTATCTGCAATGAACAAGAATTCAAAAACTTTACAAGTGAAATCATAAGAGCTTACCTTTACTGTCTACAGTATCACAATCGTTCAATTTTCTCTTTGCTAAGTACGTTTTAAAGTCACCAGAACTGATTTGTTTGTTCATATAAGCTTCAGGCACGGATAGGATCTGACTAAGTCCGAGGTTTTCTTGATTGTCGCACCTGTCGTATCTTCGGTTCCCCTTTCTCGTTGGACTCTTACATCTTTCTAAGTGACATTCGTGACGTAAAACATCGATAATGGGATCGGATTTAATCAATACAGACCCGAAAGGTTTCGGATGTAGAGGTTCGGAGGGGTTTTGATGCGAAACGAGTGTGTTTGAAGATTTTCCTTCCATCAAATCCTTACAATTTCTGGGCCTAAGTTCGTTAATCGAAGCCTGATCGGAACTCAAGGAAGGGTCTGAGGTGACAGAACTGGAGGATAAAACGTTTTCGTGACGATTCAGAAAATAACATCGTGATGGTGTTCTTGTTTCTTTACTTTGCAGCAACGACAATAAATTAGACAATGTTCCACGGAGATTAGGAGTGTGTTGACCACACAACCATCTTAACTGTGCGATATTCTTGTTTAACAAGTAAACAGCGTAGGTGAACTGCATCTTGTCTTTCCCTCTCGTATATAAAGGAAAACTAAAAAACTTTCTATTTACAAAATTATTTAAAGGAAAATAACAATTTCCAAATTTTGAAAAGCAAATGGACTAGAATTTTAAAAAAACGCGTTCAAGTTAAATTATTTAATAAGCACTTACTCTCTGTCTCTTTCAACTAAACTTGCAGTTATGTGATCTATAATATGAGATCGTGAACCAAAATACATGATAGGGTATCTTAAGGGAACTTGCAAAAATGAAGAACACATCAATAGCACATGGGCTACATACCCAAGAGCAACTGGTAAACTGCTTTCAGATGAATCTGTAAAATACAAGGGAATAAAGTCAAATTAAAAAACAAATGTGCAAATGTGCTCACCATAAAATACGTCTGAATTAGGCAGATAAACATTTTGTATGAAGAACTTATTGTCAGGTGTTGAAGATATAGGATATATGTCCAACAACTGAATCATAAGTTGCTTCTGTCTGTGATGTAGTTGTAGTAATGTATGTTGTAAATTTTCCTTTATATGCAATTCTTCCAATTTCCATTCTTTAAGTTTATCCGAGTCCTTGCTCAGTTGTCTGTAATTGTCCATAGTGATAGATGCTATAAATAAATAAGATAAATAAAATGAGAAATTGAATCACTTTATATTTATAGTAATACTTACATTTTTCTTCATTTTCATCTAATAAGTTTGTATATTTCTGTCTTAAATGTCTCACTTTTGCACTCTTTTTGTCTCGCTCTTGCAGCAATAGTTTAGTTCGAAACTTTTTTACTTCAATATCTTTTTTAATACTTACAATCCTCTCAACTTGCGCTTTTGTTGGTTTTTCCTGCAAAAGATAAATGAGNAATATTATGACATAAAGTTTTAAAAATACAATAACTTTTCATTTAGTTACAACATACTGATCGTTTTCATTCATTAATTTTAAAGATTTCTTGGCGCCGTATTTTAATGTCAATTAAAAGAATGACAACATCAAAAATATAGGACGAATCCGATGGCGAAACGAACCGACCTAATTATGGAACAGAAAAGTGCAGGGGCAGGCTGGCAAACATACCTGTGAATTTTCATTCATACAACACCTACTCGGTCTACACACAAGCGACAGAAGCGAATAACATGTTTAAACCTGTTATTCCATCGCACAAATAACAGACACTAGCGGTATCATTGTCGACCATCGTCGTTGGTTACTGCTGCCAGCATTGGTAAAAGTTTCGAGAAATGGGGTTAACGCATGACGTCAATGGGGACGCGTTTATGGTGGTAGTGGGGGGGACGATTCACAAGGAAAGAGGCGGGTCTCGTGTTGCACGAAGAGTTTTGTGTGACGTCATTCGGTATTATCCCCCTTTCGCAAAGACTCACTGCTACAACACGGGAGGGCAAGAATTTAAAACCTGCAGAATTTGATTTGACCTAAATTTCGGTATGAATGGCCATTTTAGGCCAACAACCCTCTGAAAATAGGTCGACAGACCCTACGACGAGCTATTTTTAGCAGTAGCATGAACTACTTACAGACAAAAAATAATAAACGAAAGGGAGCAGAGGGGAACCATCGTCGAAGAGCAAACGCAACTTCGACAACACCTGAATGAATACAACCCACTTAAGGTACTATATTTCATTAGCCTACACCTTTATAGATTTCCCTTAAAAAATTGCCTTCAAAACATTCAGTATTTCCTAATCGATAAGATTATTAAGATAATTTAAGAACAATTTCGATTATATACCAAATAATAATCCTCTGTAACTGAACAAATCATCACATTAAATGTTCACCATAATAAACGAAATGAACTGTACATTTGCCTCGATAGTGAAAAATATAGCACATTCAAAACGTTACGACTACTTGTTATTAATTACAATAAACAGAATTCACTGTACTATTTTAAGCCAAAACGTTCAAAAATGTTCTTTAAAACGTTCAGCATTTAAATGCAATTTCTATAATTAAAAAAAAAGAAAAAATTGCTGTAATTGCACTCATCCCGTTTTACAAACCATCACAATAATAACCACCATATTAAACGAAATGAACTATACATATAAATCATAAGCGAAATAAAAAATATAGTACATTCAAAATAAAATGATTAGTTTTTATTTTAACATACGAGAATAATCTTAGCACTCATTGTTCTGCAGAAAATTATTCGAATCAATCACAAAATCCATTTTCATTTTTAAAAATGATAAGTTAAGTAGAAATAACTTTTAAATTCCCTTTGGTGAAAAATAAAATCTTTTAGGGGTGTAACCATATAGTATTGTTACCTAATTTTTTACATATAATATCTACATAATTTTAATGTATTTGAATCCCAGTAAATATACCTATAGCCGTAATGAAATTTTATAAAATACCTAAGTATCTGATACTTTAGAAAAAAAAATATACTATATCCATCACGTACTCGATTCTAAAAAAAAAATGATATTGATAATAACACACGATTAAAAAAAAAAAAATTCCGCGGAGGAGAAAGTTGCGGAAAATATTCTGCAACGTATAGGGTGGGAGAAGGAAATGGTTGGCTGGTTGGGAGAGTTTAGTTGGACTTGGTGAGCTACGATTGCATCATGTGACCCACATAGTATATGAATGATCGGAGGGTATCAACCCCTGGGTAAGCTGGAAATAGGTCGTGACACTTTTCCCCAACACCGCGCCCGCTCCTCTCCTAGAATTCCTGTTATTTTTATCAGGATGGTCTTGTGAGCCTATTTGAACTAAGATCGATGAATGAAACACCGTAAACCCAATTCATCCTACTAACACCGAACAACAAAAAAAAGTAACGATTATTATGGCCCAGAAACCAGCAAAAGGAATAAAAATCATCAAGAAACAACTGACTTGAGAGCAAAGCTTTCATTATTATTATTATTATATACAAATGACTACAATCATTGACGATTATTTCTATCAATGAATGAATTTTGATACAATCCTACAAGACCATAAGATTATTCACTCTCATTAGTTAAATAGATGCCTATTGCCTATTTTAATATATGGATAAAAAAATTGAATCGAATCTGTTAAACCATATGGCAATACATGCAAATAAAAGACGATAAGATATTTAGTATTTAATGATTAATTTCTTTTATTGTATTGGCATTGGCATTTGTTACTGAAAAATCAGATTCAAATAGCAATAACAATTTCTACTGCTGGCAAAAAAGATGTTACTAATCATTTTTTATTGTTAAAAATAGGGTAGATACACCAGGCTTTTATTTTTACACAAATAAAATAGCATGTATTTTATTGTGTTTGTTAATGTATATGATACATAGGTCCCATAATTTGTATAAACCATTATATTTTTTAATTATCCATAATCTCAAAAGAAATTACGTTCCCTTTAAATAACGTATTATGAATATCATTTAATAATATTAAATAATTTGTTTATATTTTAACGCTTTGAACAGATTCGACCGGTTAAAGAAATCATTTATGAATGAATGACGTACCTGAATGTCCTTTATTTTGGTTATTTTCTTTGTCAGGTTAGTAATTTAAAATGAGCAAAAGCCCATTATTTAAGTAGTATGGCAGGGGTTGATAAGCCGGAAACTGTATCCGGTTTTAGTATTCCGGTTGCATACAGTATATAGGTACCTATACCTAGAAATTTCGTACGTGGTCGTTTTATACATTTAAATATTCTTATAAAANTTTGCAGCAACGACAATAAATTAGACAATGTTCCACGGAGATTAGGAGTGTGTTGACCACACAACCATCTTAACTGTGCGATATTCTTGTTTAACAAGTAAACAGCGTAGGTGAACTGCATCTTGTCTTTCCCTCTCGTATATAAAGGAAAACTAAAAAACTTTCTATTTACAAAATTATTTAAAGGAAAATAACAATTTCCAAATTTTGAAAAGCAAATGGACTAGAATTTTAAAAAAACGCGTTCAAGTTAAATTATTTAATAAGCACTTACTCTCTGTCTCTTTCAACTAAACTTGCAGTTATGTGATCTATAATATGAGATCGTGAACCAAAATACATGATAGGGTATCTTAAGGGAACTTGCAAAAATGAAGAACACATCAATAGCACATGGGCTACATACCCAAGAGCAACTGGTAAACTGCTTTCAGATGAATCTGTAAAATACAAGGGAATAAAGTCAAATTAAAAAACAAATGTGCAAATGTGCTCACCATAAAATACGTCTGAATTAGGCAGATAAACATTTTGTATGAAGAACTTATTGTCAGGTGTTGAAGATATAGGATATATGTCCAACAACTGAATCATAAGTTGCTTCTGTCTGTGATGTAGTTGTAGTAATGTATGTTGTAAATTTTCCTTTATATGCAATTCTTCCAATTTCCATTCTTTAAGTTTATCCGAGTCCTTGCTCAGTTGTCTGTAATTGTCCATAGTGATAGATGCTATAAATAAATAAGATAAATAAAATGAGAAATTGAATCACTTTATATTTATAGTAATACTTACATTTTTCTTCATTTTCATCTAATAAGTTTGTATATTTCTGTCTTAAATGTCTCACTTTTGCACTCTTTTTGTCTCGCTCTTGCAGCAATAGTTTAGTTCGAAACTTTTTTACTTCAATATCTTTTTTAATACTTACAATCCTCTCAACTTGCGCTTTTGTTGGTTTTTCCTGCAAAAGATAAATGAGTTGACAACTACGACGACATTGTGGAAAACATCACTAAAGGAATATTTTAAATTACTTACTTTCTTTCCCAACATTTTGTTCAAAGTATTCATTGTAAGAAGAGGAGCAGTGTCTGGGGTTTTTGCTTTGTCAGGTTCTTGAAACTCTGTACCAGGATCTAAACCACACATCCCACAATTGACACTTATTTTCTCTGATATTAATTGCACATCTGCTAGTTTGTTTCTCAAACTAATTTGTAAGGAATGCATTTTTAAAAGTTTTTTTAAATCATAACTATTCTTCACTTCATTCTTTTTATATCTCTCCCTAATATGTCTATAAACATTTGTACTATGTTCATTGCTAACTAAATTGATATTGTCTATAAATGGTAGGGGTTTTTGCAAATCACTACGTAATGTCTCATGACTAGTAAAAAATCCTTCCCGAATTTGAAATATCACAGTGTTTTCTTTAAAGGACTCTGGTTGTATATCCAAAATTTTATTTCCAAGATAAACTAATCCTGACAAATTAATACCCCAACTGAGAACCATTACATCTAATTCTCCATCCTGTTTTTGCCAAATTCTGATAACAAACACTAAAAAACAAAAGCAATGTTATTATTAATTTATACTCAGCATTAAAATCAATCATTTAACTTACTAGACACTGAAGAAAATTCTGTAGTTTTGAAGTCAAGATTTATCCAACGTTGATGGTAGCCTTGCTCAACAATATCACTGGTATAGAAAGGAGAACACATTGCACTCAGATGTAGAGTAAAATACAGTTTAGACTTATTAGAAGGTTCAACATTGTAAAAAACGATTTGTTGTAAATGTCGTAGTCTTAACTGAAAAAAATTGATGATTAAAAGATATAAACAAAGCATTTAAAATACCTGTTGTGTAAAAAGTGGGGTCCATTGATAGCACCCCTGCCGTCCATAAATGGTTTCTGGAGCTGGAATATTCATTATTACATCCAAAATCCATTTATTACGTGATTAAAACAATATTTCGAGGTTATGAAACTTTTTTCAATTGTAGATAAAAACGTCAACATGACCCAATATGACCATCAAAAAACAAAACACCGTAGTGGCTCAAGTGGCCAATGCCGGAGCCACAAACAGTTCAAAATCGTTTATAAAGATATATATGAATCAAATTATAGCCAACATTATTATTACAATAATTTTGTGAAAATAAACTAAAATAATTAAAATTAATAACTTACCGAAATAAAGCTGCCTTACCAGTTAGTAAGCATACGCATAGTCCCCTAAAAAAACGACTAGTACAATAAGAAAATGCTGGTTTGTGCTAGTTTGAGTGGAAATATTTTTTTCTAATGATTTATTTATTGAAATTGAAAAAAAATTGGTAGTATCAGACAATATTAATAGTACTGCAATATTTTATAAATAAATTTTATTATTTTGGTACAAGACTTTTATTATAATTGTTAAAAAACTTCAGTTAACTTAGCAGAATTATCATATTTATTTTTTAAGATAAAATACATATTATTACAGTATAGATACATACATACATACAACAATTACATCAGTTCTGTATTTATAAATTTAAAACAATATACATATTTATAAGAAATAACTAATGGAGTGGTTGTTTGCAATACTAATAATTATATTTATTTTAAAACAATCTAAAGCATTGTTAATGCTTTGAAGTTGTTAAATGACCTGTAAAAAGGTACACGCACACCAACATAATCTCGATCATTTTGACTAAAAATTATGATAGTTTTGTTTTTGTAACTAATAAAAGTACTTTAAGTGTCCTGTTAGCTACTTACTATAATAAAAAGAGTTGGATTATATAATACTAAACAAATTAAATTTAATTCTTCAAAGCAATAACATGACATATGTCACACATTCCGCAAAATGTTTAACTTTTAGCTTGCCATATAATTATAATTACTATAATTGTCAATATTACTCCAAGAATGATTGCTAATATTAATTTTCTCTTTCTGATTTTGTTTTTGTAATTACTAGCTTCTCGTAGTTGTTGTGTTCCTTGTGAAACATAATCTTGTGTACTCTCAACACTTGCCTCTATGCTATCAACAATTCCTCCTTGTTCATGGACCATTGCTCCCAATTCTTTAAATATTTGATTAACATCATTTATGTCGGTCTAAAAAAATTACAATTAAGAAATAGGTAACTGAATATCTAGAAAAAATAAAACAATACTTCAAGTTGTCTGATTGCTCTTTCTTGCTCTTGTAATGATTCTAATTCAGATTCATCTTGCATCTGAACTTGCTGTTGAAATTTGTTAACATTACCACCTTGCAACTCAATTAGCTGGGGATCTTTTTTGAAACCTAAACATTAGTTTTTGAGCAGGAGGTTTTTGCTTTATAAGATTTTCATATTAAATGACTAAAAATATATTTTGAAAAAACTCACTTGAAATTGGATCTCCCATTGCCTGAGCTTTTACTTTGTTTACCTCTTCCTTTTCTTTTTGAGCAGCTTTTCTCTGAGCTGCTTGGAATGCATTGAGAGTAGAAGTAAATTCATCTTGTAATCTTTCTTTCTGCATTTTCCTCTGACGTTGTTCAGATTGTATTGAAACTGGTGGTATAGCATTAAGTTCTTTAATATAACCAATAGTATCTTTAACGAGTTGTTGGGTATACTGGTGGATTGTATGTCTGAATTTTTCACATAATTATTACCAAAATTATAATGTATAAAAATTATAATAGAAAAATCGAAAACTTACAATTGTGTTCGTAAATCTCGAGAATCCTGATGTGTACCAATTTGATTTATCATTCGTTGCATAGAAGAAACTGAAAAGAATTTTAACATAAGAGCTTAATAAATGATGTAAAATTATAATTACCATTTTGAGATATTTTTTGAATACTAGAGCCAATCTTTTCAGAAAGCTTTTGGAAATCCTGTTCTCGACCCTGACTACTGTTTTGGTAAGATGAAAAATTTTCCATTATTGAAAGTATTTAGTTACGAGTATTAAAACAGCTGTTTACAAAACACTTGCACAATAAAACTGCTGGAAATATGAAATCTAAGTATTATTATTTACGTTGTATATATAAAATACCTTATCTTACAATAAATTTATATGATGATTCAATTTTGTTGTTAATTATATGTCACTATGACATACCCACATGACATTGACATTACACACCGTAGATGATCATCAAATTCACATCAAATTGATCAAATCTATGGACTAAATATGATCATTATTAAATTTGTATCAGTGGTTATTCACATAAACATAACGAACATAACCTTTCTAATGACAGAAGAATTATTATCAACATTTCAAAATTGTTTTTTATCAATTTTGATTATGCAAAACAAGTAATTAAAGACAAGTAATATTTATAATTGTAAAGTTTCGCTATGTTAGGAGATGATACAAAAGAAGATGTTGATCAGGGGGTGCAGAATGATCAACAAGATGATGACGAGAATAAGGATAAAGAAAAGGAGGAAAAAAACATTATTGAATCTTATATAAAAGAAACCGAAGAAAGATTACAAAAACGAAACGAACTTAGAAATTTAAACCTCAATGCCCAAAATACAAGACCTACTGAATCGTATTTTTCAAAATTAGATTCAAATTTAAAGAAAAACACAACGTTTGTGAAAAAAATTAAAAATTTTAGTGCCTCCCAAGTTGACACCTATATTAAAGACATGAACGGATTAAATCTTACAAAATACATATCTGAGATAGCAACAGCTATTGTAGATGCAAAATTAAAAATGACTGATGTCCCTGCTGCAATTAAATTATGCAGCACACTTCATCAAATATATGCAGAATTTTCTCAACATTTATTTGAAAATTGGCAAAAAACACTGTCTTTCAAATCTGGGGAGAAAATTGCCAACCCAAGCAAATTAAGAGTTGACTTGAGATTTTATGCAGAATTAGTAAGTGCTGGATTATTTAACAACAAAAACGCATTTAGTTTATTGGGAAATGTACTTACTTTTCTGATAAATATGGACAAAGAGGAACATCTAAACTTAAATATTATTTTAAGTTTCTGTAAACACTGTGGTGAAGACTATGCAGGTAAACAGTTTTTGAATTTGACAAAAGCGATATTAAATATTACAATATTGTAGGTTTAATCCCCCGCAAAATAAGAGAACTTTCTGAAAAATATAATTTAACTACACCAAGGAGCACATTCCTATCTCCAGAAAAACAGCAGAATGTTAAAGTACTTTTAAAAGATTACTATGGATCTTTAAGTAAGCATTTAATTAAGGACCACAATGAAGTGAGGCAATTTGAGAAACAAAACAAAAGGATTTTACATACAAAGGGTGAACTTAGTCAAGAAAGAAAAGATAAGCTGGACTCCCTCTTAGTATCTTTTGAAAAATTATCAAATTCAACACAAAGTTTAGCTGAAGTGTTAGATGAGGAATTACCAATACTTCAAGTAGACAATCATCAAAATGAAGATGAAGTATGTGCCGCTTCCTTTTCCTGTATTTTTTAACTTAAGTTAATATTTCCAGCATATGGTCATAACGGGCACAGGAATTGACGCCGATGAAATAGCTTCCAAAGTAGCGACTATAGAAAATATCTGGGGAGATATAGAGACACAACGTTTCTATTGTGAATTACCTGAGCTACAAGCTTTTCTACCCACTTCATATTTACAAAAGGACAAAGACAAAGAAAAATCTGACACTCCACCACCAACTGGCGATACTGTAACAGAAGAAGCGCTCGATTCTGAAATACCCGCTGAAGAATTAGAAGATGATGGTAAGAAATTCACTATTCTTTTTTGTTATTTCCCACTATTGTATTTACAACTCAATATAACTTATTAATTTTATTTAACAGGAAAAGATTAATTAATCAGACAGTGGTTTCATTTGTAGTCCCATGCCCTAAAAGGGAAAATAAAAATACGGAACCCTTTTAAGATTTTAACCTACCTCAAAAACTATTTCAGCTAGAAACATGAAATTTGGTATAATAATGAATTTAATCTACCCCATCTTTATTTTCGGAAATTAGCTCTTGAAAAAAAAATATTGATACGAAAATAATTAAAAAGTATTAAACAAAAAATTATTTTTAATATTTCATTCTAAAAGTTAAGTAGAAAAAGTGAAATCAAATTTATGGTTTGATTTACAGGGAAGTCTGAAGAACCATTAATCGAAGAAGAAGTAGAAGATAATAGTTCAATAACTGTTAACAATAAAATCGTATTAGATGCATTTTTAAATAACTTGCCGAATTGCGTTAATCGTGAAATGATCGACAATGCCGCAATCGATTTCCTTGTTACTTTAAACAATAAACACAACAGAAGAAAGTTGGTTCGCGCCCTTTTTGGTGTCAACAGGACTCGTCTGGATTTGCTACCATTTTACGCACGATTCGTTGCAATCCTCTATCCTGCCCTTCCTGAAGTAGGAAATGAACTTTGTCAAATGCTAAGACAAGATTTTAAGTATCAAGTACGAAAAAAAGATCAGATCAATATCGAATCGAAAATTAAAGTGGTGAGATTCATAGGCGAATTGGTGAAATTTAAACTGTATTCCAAACTTGATGCGCTTTATTGCTTAAAAGTTCTTCTTTACGACTTCTCTCATCACCACATCGAAATGGCATGCAATTTATTAGAAGTGTGTGGTCGTTATCTCTATTGTAATCCCGATTCTTATCAAAGAACGAAGGTTTACCTCGAACAAATGATGAGGAAGAAGGCAGTGATGGCCCTTGATTCGCGCTACGTTACACAAATCGAAAATGCCTATTATTACGTGAATCCACCCGACGTGACACCTGTTGCTAAAAAAGAAAGACCGGTCATGCATCAGTTCATTCGAAAACTTCTCTACCAAGACTTGCAGAAGAACAACATAGACAAGATACTAAGACTGATGCGAAAGCTTGACTGGAATAACGAAGACGTGTCGGCTTATGCAGTCAAATGTCTGACAGGAGCACATAATATGAAGTATTACAACATAAGGTAATGCCTTCAATTTGCAATTTACAAACTTATCAATGAACTATTTGTTTTGAGAAAAATCAAAATGACCTTGCACATTAATGATATATATTTTTTATTTTATAAAGTATTTATTCTTGTTTGTTTTTTATATGTTATGTTGTGTACATGTATGTAATGAAGACACTAACAACACACAAAATTTTTAGATGCTTAGCAAACCTTTTATCCGGCTTAGTTGCTTATCAAGAAGAAATAGGTACACGGGTAGTAGATGGGGTATTAGAAGACATAAGACTGGGCATGGAAGTTAATCTACCCAAATTTAATCAAAGAAGAGTTGCACAAGTTAAATATCTAGGCGAATTATACAATTATCGTATGGTAGAAAGTGCAGACATATTTAAGGTAACTAATTGATATTATTAATATGTAGTAAGTTATTATAACATTAACAATCACCTTTTCAGGTCCTATATTCTTTAATAACATTCGGTGTTACAATGGATCCGAATAACCCTTCGCCCCTAGACCCCACCGATCATTTATTTAGGATACGTCTAGCTTGTGTTCTACTGGAAACATGTGGTAAATAATATTTTAATTAAATATATAAATAAATCTTAAATATAGATTGTGTGGGATTTAGGTTGTTAATAAGTAGAAAAACATAATAGTAAACAATGTAATGGTGAAATTATTCCTATAATTTTCTTCGTTTTAGGGACGTATTTCAGTAGTGGAAATAGTAAAAAGCGCCTAGATTATTATTTAGTATTTCTTCAAGCATATTATTGGTTCAAGAAATCTATGTTAGAAATTATGCCCCCTTTTTTGGAGCACATGTTCAAGGAGACACTACAAACTCTAAGACCAAAGCTCAAATTATTCCAAAGCTATGAAGAAGCTCAAGTAGAAGTTAATAACATCAGAACTACATTAGGAATTGGTTAATTTAATAGAATCCTTAAATGTTTATCGATAATGTAATATTTTCGTTTTAGAAAACTTGACATCAACTATGAAAGACGAAAATCATCCCGAAGGCGTTTTAGAAAACATTACAGAAACGGACAACGAAGATATCGGAGACGATGAAATTTCGGAGGGCTTAGCTGGTCCAGTTACTGACGAAACCGCTACAGAAGACGAAACGGTTGACCATACTCAAGGATCAGATGAAGAAGGTAAAAAAATATTTCTACAATTTTCAATTCAATGTTAACTAGTGGTTAGAAACAGATTACATTTTTTATTTCTTGTTTCAGGTAGTCAATATGTAAGCGAGTTTGAACAGGAGACTCCTTCAGAGAACTTGGCCATACCGAGCGGGCCGAAAAAGGTCGAGTGCCCCGAAGACGAAGAATTTTTAAATGCTCTGGATAAAATGGTATCTGAAAATATACAGGAACGTCTTCGCGAGCCAGTCAAAGCCACCAATATGGACATTTCAGTTCCCATGATGCTCAAGTCCAATAAGAAAACATTTGATCCGTTACAGGTGAGTAAAGTATGAAATTATTAAAATAAATAATTTTCAATACTGTAGTGTAGGTGCTAAGGGAACAATATTATTTCTGTTCTTATTGATAATTACAGGAGTCAAATGAAAACGAGCAAAAAACAATGGGATTTGTTCTTATGTTACGCAAAGGCAATAAGCAGCAGTATAAGACTTTTGAAGCGGATATTAATTCCGAACTTGCCCAAAATTTACGTGACCAAGAAGTAGCGCAGCGTGAAGAAAAAGAACGAGTTAAACAGTTAACCCTTAACATAACCGAGAGATTTGAAGAAGAGGATTATCAAGAAATGTTGCAGCAACAAAATAAACCGTCCATGCAAAATTTGAACAGAGAACGAAAGAAATACCAGCATCCCAAAGGAGCTCCAGATGCCGACTTGATATTCGGAAAGAAGCTACGCTGAACTTCGAAAACAATACATATTAAATGTATAAAACTTTGGGAAGGGTGTTCGAGAAGAAGAAGTACACTGATTTCTAAAAAGAAAAAAAAAAATAAGAATTTTGTTGGAAGTTTTTGTATTGTTAGAATTTAAAGGCCAACCATTTCCCAAGAGGACCGTATCCGTGAAAGGAGTCGCCAATATTTTTTTAATACAGTTATAAAAAATATAAAGAAATAACTAGTGTCCATTGTCCATAGACACTTGTTTTTAATAATTGAATAAATATATTTCAAAAATTAAAAACTGATGTGTAACTTTATTTTAGAATTACACACTTTTGACCTTTGGTCATTTGAAGGATTATATTTTACTTCTATTTTCTACATTAAGATGTTTTTTTGCTTTTTTATATAAAAGCACAATATAAAAGTAATTAAAAGTACACAAAAATCAAACATGTTAATGAGATAAACACAAAAATGTATGTCAAAAACAATCTCAGTCAATTCTCTCACACTACCTTTAATCTGCATCTTCGAAATGCTCCTCTTCAACATTATAATCCCCATTACTATGATCATATTGGATGTTAACTGAATGATCTCTAAGTCTATCTGATAAATGGTCCATGTCTGAAAGTAAAAGCTAATATGTGCTACAGTGTAATATTTTAAATGTGATCATACCTGCATCTCCACCACCTATCATATCACCAATGACCATGTTCTCTTGATCTTCAGCATCTTCATACATGTCATCTTCATCAATATCACTTGGATCAGGATTCAGAGCCTTTAAAAAACTAATCTGAGTATTTGAAAGGATTTGTTTATACTATGCATACTTGACACTGCTTAATTGACTCATATAAATCATCTAATGTATTTAAATCAGATGGAACTAAAATTAATTCTGATATATCTGCTTCTGACCCTGCCTCACTATCTTCATCATTTTGAACTGGTTCAGAACTTTCTCCTACCAAAAAATACCTTTAACTATCACAATAAGTGTTATGTACAATTTTAAACCTGGTAAAGTAACATGTGTGTCAATCATGATATATATGCAAGGTGTTGGGTATATCGTAAGATCAGAAGATTTGGCATGCATAGATATATGGTTATAAGATATGGTAAAGCCTCGTTCTTGAACGTCTTTCCAACATAAGGTTCTGTAATATTTTGTAATTAATTATTTATTTAGTGTAAAAACCTTATTCTAACCTCTCACTAACATACACAGTTCCCGGACCAAGATCTTTTTTATCAAAAATAGCCTGTGTATTTCTGTGTTCAAAAACAACAGGGGAATCTGGAGCTTGAAAGGAACTTACAACTACCATTTTTATTCAGTATGACTTTGTTTTTCAAATAAATAAAATTTTATTGGAGATTTGAAAATCGAGCTTGTTTAAGTCAACTTAACTCATAGATAACTTAACCTCACAAAAGCTTTTAAAAGTATGAGATACTGTGGTATGAGCATAGTATGAAATAGGTATGTTCTATTTTTCTACACTTACTTTGAATCGGGTTAGGTTATTCAATTTACTTCAAACATGGTCGGGTGTTAGCGCTATCATCACTGTACCCTTACGTTTAAATAGAACATCAAATTTAAATATAGAATATTGCATTTTGTACATGCTTTGCTATGATCAAAGTAGCTTCGTATACTCTGCATCGACTCCTATTATTTTCACTAAATACTTGTAGATTTAAATTACTTGGATCGAAGACCTATAAAAAAATTTTTAGGGAACATTTCCGGAATACACAACTTTTTTGTCTTTCTATTCAGTCACTAACTTCATAAAAAACATCAAGTTCACATAACAATTAGAACAAATTAGTCCTTATATTTAAACAATTCGTATATACAGAATCACACAAATGTTATATATACAACTTTACAAAACATTTACAAAGAAAATGCAGTCCACGTTTCGTTAATTAAACATATGTAGTAAACGTATTACTTTTTATACTTAATAATAAACTATCTCCTTAAATACAAAATTCATTCAAATTAGGTAATATAAAAATATAAACACTCGCATTCTTAAGAACTCTCGTGAGGTATAAGTAGTAATCACAATTATACTTATTAATGATAAATTAATTGACTCGTATTAAAAAACTTTTAACACTTAAAATAAAAAATGGAACCTGAAAAAAGAAATATGGCAAGTACGTATTAACGATACGGAGACTTTGTAGTTACACAACAACAATCGACATCATTAAGATTGTTTCAGAAAACTCAGATCAAATCTAAAGGGTTTCGAAGAAGTATTTCCACAACAATTATTTCCATTTATATTTGTTACATTTATCGGGGGATTTTCTTTGGGTTTTCGACCTACAAAATAATATACTGTTATTATATTATCCTAAACATGAAAGAGTATATAAATACTTTTAATCTTATTCTAAAAAGAGAACTATTAACGCCTAAACGAAATAATTAGGGATAAGAGTATGAAAAAGCCCCCCCCCCCATAACAGTATTCATTAATTTTTCAAAAAACCTTATTTTTTATTATTATTGTTTTTCTAAAAAAT